GACTTTCTCCAAATAAGCTCATTCTAATGAGACTGCTGTATTTCAGTCATTGTCTCTTTGCTGCATTTATACAGCAGCCTGTAGAAATCATTTTTAAATGCAAACAATTGCACAGCAGAATCCTTTTTGAGCGCAGAGGCCAAATTTCCCTTGGCATTCCTGCAGCATTCTTTTTTACAGTGTGTGCTCAGAATAACTTCAGACACTGTGGGGAATATGAATGGGGAGTTATTCGGAGAAATGGGACATAAAAAGAAAGCAATTTCCTGCAGACTTCATATCCGGATCAAGATCTGGATTATATTTTATATTCATTCAAGGTATTATTTGGTGAAATGGCATTTCTACAATTTTCTCAAACTTTGCCCCGTGTGTTCAATTGAAAGCAAACGTTCCGTTGAAAGTATTGTCGAAGGCTTTCATGCCTGGGATGGATCACTGGGTTGTTATGAGTTTTCCGGGCTGTATGGCCATTTTTCAGAAGCATTCTCTCCTGACATTTCACCTGCATCTATGACAGGCATCCTCAGAGGTTGTGAGGTCTATTGGAAACTAAGCAAGTGAAGTTGATATATCTATGGAATGTCTAGGGTGGGAGAAAGATGTCTTGTCTGCTCGAGGTTAATGTGAATGTAGCAATTGGCCACCTTGAAACATTCTGCCACTTCCAACAAAGGTTTTCCTCAGCAGTAAGAAGCCAGACCTTGAAACTGCTAGGCCATTAAGTGCTAATCAAGGTGGTCAATGGAAACATTCACAGACAAAAGTTCTTTCTCCCACCCTGGACATTCCACAGATATATAAACCCCATTTTCCTAGTTTCCAACAGACCTCCAAACTTCTGAGAATGACTGTCATAGATGTGGGTGAAACGTTAGAAGGGAATGCTTCTGGAATGTGGCCATACAGCCTGGAAACCTCACAACAACCCAATTCTGTTGAAAGTTTGGACTCTGAAGTGTCATGTTTAAGCTCTGAGCCATATTGTTTTTTTTCACATTTGCAGGATATGAGGGATATTCGGAAAGTAAGGTTACAAGATTTTTTAAAAATACAAAGAATGAATATATTTTAATAAAACATATCTGGATTGTAGCATAGATAGTACATTCTTTTTCCATGTAATCACCATTCGGTTTAATACATTTTGCAATCCCTTCTATTAGTTTTTGATGCCTGTGTCATAGAAGTTTCCCTCCGCCTTTTCAGACGGTTTTTTACTTCGATTTTCACCTCTTTCTTGTTGGAAAAGTGTTTTCCACCCAGGTATTCCTTCAATTTAGTGAACTGGTGGTAGTCACTGGGTGTGAGATCGGAGCTGTGAGAGGGGTGGCTTAAGACATCCCAACCAAATGAAGTCAACAACTCTTGTGTTGCATGAGCAGTGTGCAGACACACACTATCATGAAGGAGACAGACTCCCGCCGTCAGCATCCCATGAAGTTTGTTTTGGATGGCTCTGCAAAGTTTCTTCACGGTCTCACAATGTACTCAGTACCCATTTTGTCACGTGCTGACATGACATTAAATCTTCTCCATAAACGGAAACAATTTCACCATGAATCACAGCAGCGTTCATGTGCTTAGGATTTTGGTAGCATATGACAGCATGAACTTCGCACTTGGAGGGAAGCTAAATGAGGACGCTCATCTCTAACTTTCGTCAGTCGATGAGCTACTGGCAACTGGCACTGCTCGTTCGCTTCCATTGGCTTCCTGCTACACAACACTGATACCAACTTCCCCTGAGAAAATTCCCTGCGAGAGCGACGTGCATTGGAACCTTACTTTCTGGGTTATCCTAGTTTATGGCTGCTGTGGAAGAAATGTGTACTTGGAAATGGCCGTTGTGATGAGGGATACTGAGAAAGTACAAGCCAAAATGTAACTCTCCCCTATTACTACTGAGGCTGGATCCATACTGCCATATAATCCAGACCGTTTTTCGTTTCACTAATAATAATAATAATAATAATAATAATACTTTATTTTTACCCCTCTACCATCTCCCCAAGGGACTCGGTGCGGCTTACATGAGGCCGAGCCCAAAATACAACAATACAAGCAATAACAATACAAACAATTTAAAATAACAAAACAATAAAACAATAACACATGTATTATCAATAGGACAACACACTTTAAAATCTATGGGTAGGCCAAATGTAATTAAAATTAAAATATTAAAAAATAATGCTGGACATGGATGGAAAAGTGATAGGGCAGTTTATGGGAACATACCAGCAGACCTAAATATATAAAGTGTTTTGGAGGACAAAGTGCTATGGGATCATTATTCTGGGAAGGCACACTGGAACATCCATGTCTTCAAGCTCCTCTTAAAGGCTGCCAAAGTTGGGACATGCCTGATGTCCTTAGGAAGAGAGTTCCAGAGTTGAGGGGCCACCACCGAAAAGGCCATCTCTCTCTCTCTCTCTCTCAAGAAACAGAGAAACTGCAAGTCGCTTCTGGTATGAGAGAATTGACTGTCTGCAAGGATGTCGCCCAGGGGATGCCTGGATATTTTGATGTTTTACTATCCTTGTGGGAGTCTTCTCTCATGTCCTCACGTGTGGAGCTGGAGTTGACAGAGGGAGCTCATCCACACTCCAGTTTCAAACCTGTGACCTGTCGGTCTTCAATCCTGCGCCATTGGGGGCTGGACTGCGCCATTGGGGGCTCTCAAAGCAGATAATCCACATTATCTGCTTTTAACTGGATTATGTGAGTCTACACTGCTATATAATCTAAATTCAAAGCAGATAATCTGGGTTTGATATGGCAGTGTAGAAGAGGCTTGATACACTATGGATTGTTATGTCTACTGAGTCCCCTTCGGGGTGAGAAGGGCGGCATATAAATGTCGCAAATAAATAAATACTGATATTGGCACTTACAACTGGACCAGCTACAGGTCTACTTAGAAGAGAAAGGAACTGAGCAATGTCCCTATTTATCCCCTGATTTCAGGGATAGGAAAGCCAGGCTTGCCCAAAGCCCAATTGCTCTTCCGACATAATGTTTTTCTGCCAGATATGCTTCCTTGTGATTCTCATGTGATTGCTTTCTGGAAATATATTGAAATGTTTTGAAAGAAAAACTACTGTGCTGTGTTTGCCATAGGTGATTTAGATTTGTATCTTGCCCTCCCTAAAATATTCAAGAAAGTTGTTTAAAATTTCATGCCATTAGTTATATCAGGCATGGGCCAACTTTGGCCCTCCCTCCAGGTGTTTTGGACTTCAACTCCTACAATTCCTAACAGCCAGTTGCCCCATGCCTGAGTTAGATTCACTTTGTGCTATTGGCACCAGGTTTATTTTGCACTTTAAGCAAGATGGCATAAAGGTTTCCATTGGCATTACACTGATTCAGAACTATTCTGGAAGTGTGCTTCGAACAGCTTCACTTGACGAGTTTTAGATTCCGCAGATTCCGAAGAGCATTCACACTATTTCCCCCCGATCATGGGTGTCATTTTGAGATAGAAAAGCGATGGAAAGTGCGTGTGGAACTGGGCTTCTCAAGATGTAGTGCAATGTTTCTCAACCTTCCTAATGCCGTGACCCCTTAATTTATTTCCTCATATTATAGAGACCCCCAACCATAAAATAATTTTCATTGCTACTTCATGACTGGAATTTTGCTACTGTTGTGAATCGTCATGTGATATGAGGATGTATTTTCATTCACTGGACCAAATTTGGCACAAATACCCGATATGCCCAAATTTGAATACTGGTGAGGTTGGGAGCAGGATTGATTTTGTCATTTGGGAGTTGTTGCTCATTCGTTCGTTTCCAACTCTTTGTGACCTCATGGACCAGCCCACGCCAGAGCTCCCTGTCGACCGTCACCACCCCCAGCTCCTTCAAGGTCAATCCAATCACTTCAAGGATGCCATCCATCCATATTGCCCTTGGTCAGCCCCTCTTCCCTTTTCCTTCCATTTTGTTCTCCAGCATCATTGTCTTCTCTAAGCTTTCCTTCCTTCTCATGATGTGGCCAAAGTACTTCATCTTGGCCTCTACTATCCTTCCCTCCAATGAGCTGTCGGGCTTTATTTCCTGAAGTATTGACTGGTTGGATCTTCTGGTGGTCCAAGGCACTCTCAGAACTTTCCTCCAACACCACAGTTCAAAAGCATCTATTGGGAGTTGTAGTTGCTGGGATTTCTAGTTCACTTACAATCAAAGAGCATACTGAACTCCACGAATGATGGAAATGAACCAAACTTGGCACACAGAACTCCCATGACCAATAGAAAATACTAGAAGGGTTTGGTGGGCATTGACTTTGAGTTTTGGAATTGTATTTCACCTACATCCAGAGAGCACTGTGGACTCAATGATAGGTCTGGACCAAACTTGGCACAAATACTCAATATGTTGAAATGTGAACACTGGTGGAGTTTGGGGAAAATAGATTTTGACATTTGGGAGCTGTAGTTGCTAGGGTTTATAGTTCACCTACAATCAAAGAGCATTCCGAACCCCACCAATGATAGAATTGGGCCAAACTTCCCACACAGAATCTGCATGCATTGAAGGGACTCGCTTGCACGAGCCTCCCTCCAACCTCTCCCACTCTCCCACGCCTGCACTTGCGTACCATGCTGCTATGCGCTGAGCATGCCTGCTCTCCCCTCCTCATTCGGAGTCTCAGAACCAGCCCTCCCCTTGGCTGAGAGACTGGCCAATCACAGCAGAGGAGGGCTTTTGGTGGGAGGATTTGCTGTCAGTTTTCAAAGAGGAAGAGGAGAGGTGGAGAAATCTTCCACCTTGGCCAAAGGAGTTCCTAAGACCATCAGAAATATGTGTTTTCTGATGGTCTTTGGTGACCCCTCTGAAACCCCCTTGCAACCCCCCTCCCCCAGAGGTCCTGAACCCTGGTTGACAAACGCTGCTCTAAATGTTGAGCCTCTGTTATAGTTATGGATAAACATTACAATTTCTGTAAACCTGGTCCACTTGTACTAATGACATTTTCTCTTTTCACAGGCCGGTAGTGATGGTGAAAGCATAGGGAATTGTCCCTTTTCTCAGAGACTCTTCATGATCCTGTGGCTCAAAGGAGTGGTATTTAGTGTCACGACAGTTGACTTAAAAAGGTAGGACATATGGGATTTCCTGGAATCTTGTTATCAATGATGAATAGAGGTGTGCAAAGCAGCTGGAATCTGATTACACTGTTCAACGGAGAAAAAGTTGCAGGCCTGAAAATAGTTGTTCTTTTATGATTTTGGGGTGCTGAAAACGAAAATGACATTTAAAAATGTATATTGGCTCTAGTTTTTATGATAAAAGCAATCACGTGATCACATATGATTGAAAAAATGCATGTTGCGACATACACTATGGAAGATTCTAGAAAGTTGCGGGCCTGAAAATAGTTGTTCTTTTATGATTTTGGGGTGCTGAAAACGAAAATGACATTTAAAAATGTATATTGGCTCTAGTTTTTATGATATAAGCAATCACGTGATCACGTATGGTTGAAAAAAATGCATGTTGCGACTTACACTATGGAAGATTCTAGAATACTCTAGAAAGTTTGATGACGCAGTATTAGTGCCGTGTGCAAAAGCCAGAAAGCCCTATATAAGGCCAGACTTTTGAACGGTGAGGGTCAGTCAGTTGAAGACTGAGACAGTATCGTTAAACATCGTTTTACATTGTTCTTTTTACTGTAGTTATGCCTCGCACGTGTGTAAATAAAGCACTATGGAAAAAAGATATCAAGGTAAATGGACTCCGTCAATGCTGTCAGACTACTGCTGGAGCATTGTAAGAGACAATCCTTTCCTTGAATACAAAAGAAAAGTCAAGAGAAGCAAACAGGATATAAACTAAAGTCACGATTAAAGCGACATTTAAACTTTCAGACTTTTCAACTGCATTAGGCCTACTAATATAGTTTCTTGCTGCACAAACATAAACAATAGACTAATTAAATAAATATTTCTCATGTATAAACTATTGGCAATATAATTAGACTAAAATTTAGTAAATATTCACGGTTTATATACATGCAGTAAGGTTAGGCGCATTATCATAATATTAACGAATTACCTATTGTGGAGAAAATTGAAATAGCTGTTGCATAAAAACCAGAGCCAATTAACACATTTAATTATTATATTTGAATTCAGCATGTTAAATTTATTAAGAAACGGCACATTTCGTTTCCGTAACTGAGAAAAACTGAAAATTTGTAGAACAGTGTTATTAATTCGTTTCGGAGATTCAACTGTCCCCCATTAAATTTCATAAAGATTTGAAGGGGTCACATTTCGTTTCGTAATCCGAATCACCAAAGGTTTGTCATTGTTTTGTTAAGATTTGTTCCATTAGCGGCAATGGGGGAAATATTGAGGTTTGTTTCTCTGCCATTTTTATGGATGAAAGTTGGCACGCTTGTAGGCAACATTAATGAATTTAAGCCTGGCAAATTTCAGAATGTTTCGGTTATCCATTGATTTTTAGGAATTTTAAAAAGCTATCCCCATGAATTTCAGCACAATAAGACAACATAAGCAGGGCATCAACCCTGCAAAGTTTCAAAAAGATTTGTTCATCTACTGATTTTTTTTTAGGAATTTTGTAATTTTTTTCAATTAAAAATTTATTTTTTGGAACACAAACTACAACTTGAAACACTCCAAAACAATAAATTTTACTAATCTCTCTGAAATATTTCAGAGGCTTCCATTTTCTTTCGTAATTTTTTGGAGCGGATCCCGTTCTGATTAGTAATTTGGGGATTTGTATTACCGTATCATACAAATCTCCGAATTATGAAATGGACCTTTCTCCAACCCTAATGATGAATTCAAATTGAAGTGTCTCGCTCACTGCAGAATCTTATAGCCCATGCATGGACAAACCGGCCCTCTAGGTGTTTTGGACTTCAACTCCCACCATTCCTAACAGCCTCAGGCCCTTCTTTTTCCCCCTCAACCACTAAGGAAGGGCCTGAGGCCATTAGGAATTGTGGGAGTTGAAGTCCAAAACACCTAGAGGGCCAAAGATGCCCATGCCCATTCTAGCCATTCTCATCCTTATAGAAAGGAAGAGATCCCATGTGACATATTCTTTTGTTGATGTTTGTATCCAAGGCTTGGGAATTCCATTGTAATTAGAATTTATATTATGCATGAGAATTGATGAACAAATGTATTATGCAATGTATTAGAAGTTGTTCACCCTACCCCAGTTCAGACAGATACGCAAGCTATATGAATATGTATGCTCAAAGCTAACAAATGCAATATGCATTTAAGAGAGGAGACAGGCGTACAATTTCATTCAAAATTGTATATCATTTAATTGACTTTGGGAGTCTAATGAGGGTAAACCTAATTTTGTATTTCACAGTTTAATTGCCAGCGTTTATAATTTCATTGAGTGTGTATATGAAACAAAAGAGAGCTGGTATGGTGCAGTGATTTGACATTGGGATGTGACTCTGGAGACCAGGGTTCAAATCCCCACTTGGGCATGAATACCCAAGCATGGCAAAGGCAACTTCCTCTGAACAAACTTTGTCAAGAAAACCCTGTGAAAGTTTTGCTTGAGGGTCGCCATTGCCACAAGAAATATAATGTGCAGATTTGATCAATGTGGATTTAATATAATATATGGTATGAATGAAATTGTATGAAAGATGAATGAGAAGACACATTTCAAAAATATTGAGGCCTGCAATGGCAAACTACCTGCTTGAGGAACTGTAATTAAAAGTTGCTAATTAAAACTGAAAAGGTAAACTGTGATAAGAACTATGACAGTGGTAAAATAAATGTTTACATCTGTTTACATCAGTCAACATTTGCTGATCAGAAACCAAATTAACTCTAAAGCAAATGATCTCTGTTTACATTACTCAAAGAGAATACTCTTTCAAGTCAAACCCGGAACACAATGGTTCGTTCCCTGAAGAAAAGCATCAATGTCAAGAGATGAAGACTCAAGATAATTTCAAATGGGACAATTATTTGCTACATTAGCAGAATATTCCTATACATGACTCAATCTAATAATTCTCAAATTGTGACAGTGGAACTGTTTACTCACCTTTTTGCTCCATGGGAAGGACAGAGATGGTGAATGGAGAGTGTCAGATCTTCTATGGGAAAGCAGGGTTCTATACACTTTGGTTTTCTTTCTCACGGGAAGAGGAAGGTGTGCGTTTTGGAGTCATGATATGTTTGCAGGGAGTCAGGCTCTGCTGTATGGAAAATAGGAATCTGATCCTTGGCATTTTGGTATTATGAAAGTTTTGGAATGGTGTGTTAGAAGACTGCAGGAAAGCAGGGTCTGGCTTAACAGGTGTTCTTCTCCAAGGAGGGGGGAAAGGATATAATAATATTTGAATGCATGGTGATGGATGAATATGTGGTGTGAATGCTGAGTAAAAATGCAATTGCCCTTTCTTTGTTTGTTAGCCAATGTAACTAAGTAGGTTGTTGTGAATCCAGTATAGTTACGTAGAATCTGTATGTCCAATGTCATTCTTTGTGTAAAAGTTCTGATATACCCTCTCACACTGAAGATTGCAATTAAAAAACCTGGTTTAAAAAGTATTCATGGCATAGTTGGCAGGATATTCTTTTCAGTGTGAGAATAATAATAGTAATAATAGTATTTATACCCCTCCACCATCTCCCCAAAGAGGACTCGGGGTGGCTTACATGAGGCCAAGCCCGGTAATACGTAGAAGCAAAAATACAGAACAACAAAATATCAGCACAGTATGTGGAAAAAAGAAGATATACCAGAAATTAGTGATTGGATAGAAAAAGTGGTAGACATAAAAAATATGGACAGGTTAACATATCTAATAACAAAAAATAAAGGGACCCCAATAAAAGAGACCGACTGGACAAAAGTAACAAATTATTTGAAACAAAGAAATGGACATATAATAACATGAAGGGAAGAGAAAATAAGATTGAAGAATGAGAGGAGAAGAAAGAAAGAAGAGGAAGAACCACCAGGAAGATACGAGGGACAGGGCCTTCTCGGTGGTGGCCCCTCGACTCTGGAACTCTCTCCCACTGGAGATCAGAACCGCCCCTTCTATCCTGACATTCAGGAAACAGTTGAAGACATGGCTATGGAGACAGGCATTCGATGAGTGAGCCAGATATGGATGGAGGATGATGAACAACGAGTGACGACTGACCATTGTAGTTATTGAATGTAATTGCTATTTTAATGTTTTATTGTAAAATGAATTATTATGTTTTATTAACTGTTTGTGACATTATGGTTGGAAACCGGTCTGAGTCCCTCAAGAGAGGTGAGAAGGTCGGTATATAAAACTTTTAAATAATAAATAAATAAATAATACTCTGGAAGTCAACACAGGAGTCACAACAATCTGCTCCTATTTTTATCTTTTTCTTTCTTTCTTTCTGATCTCTATTTTTTTCTTTTTTCTTTTCCTACTATTTTTTTCTTTCTACTATTTTTTCTTTGTTTTTCTTTCCTTCTTCTTCTTCTTCTTCTTCTTCTTCTTCTTCTTTTAGCATTATTCTTTATCTGCACAAAATGGATTTTTTTTCTTAATAAAGATGATTTTAAAAAATATCAGCACAGTAAAATAGTAAAACATAAAAGTACTATATACTCGAGTATAAGCTGACACAAATATAAGCCGAAGCACCTAATTTTACTACAAAAAACTGGGAAAATGGATTGACTTGAATATAAGCTGAGGGTGGGAAATGCAGCAGCTACTGGTAAATTGCAAAATAAAAATAGATACCAATAAAATTATATTAATGTAGGCATCAGTAGATTAAATGTTTTTGAATATTTACATAAAACTGTAATTCAAGATAAGACTGTCCAACTCTGATTAAACCATTATTCTAACCTTCTTAAATGTAAATATGCTTACATGTCCTCAAATAATAATAAATAGAGTTAAATAATAATAATAGAGTAAAATAATGGAATGTAATAACAGTAATAATAGAGTATAATAATAAATGTAATAACAATACAGTAAAATAATAAATGTAACAATAACTATAATAGAGTAAAATAATAAATTTAATAATAACAACAATAATAAAATAATAAGTGTAATAATAATAACAAC